GAATAGAATAGAATAGAATAGAATAGAATAGAATAGAATAGAATAGAATAGAATAGAATATAATAGAATAGAATAGAACAGAACAGAACAGAACAGAAAGGAATGGAACAGAATAAGAATTTAGAATAGAACAGAATAAGAAGATAGAACAGAACAAAACAGAACAGAATTCTTTATTGGCCAAGTGTGATCGGACACACAAAGAATTTGTCTCCAGTGTATATAAGCTCTCACTGTACATATAAACTACAAAGTGATGAGTCATAGATCATAAATCATAAGGTACAATCATAAGTGTTAAAACTAGCAAGTACTTTAACAATACATAATCAATAAGCAAATATTCTTACCCATGATTCATGGAATAAAACAGTTAGAAGGTACATTGCATAATCATAGTTTTGCTTTCTTAGAGGACATCTGAAAAACAAAAACATATATAGCAATAGCACTTACTTATATACCGCTTCTCAGTGCTTTTAGAGCCCCCTCTAAGCCTTTTACCAGAATCAGCCTATTCCCCCCAACAATCGGGATCCTCATTTTACCGACCTCAGAAGGATGGAAGGCAGTGTCAGCCTTGAATTTGGTTCTAACCACTGTGCCACCGGGGCTCGAAAAGAAGAAAAATATAACCATTCCAAATTCCAGTGTTCCCAACCCGCACCAAATTGAGCAACCCCATGTTATAGCATATGAATAATACGTTAAGTCTGTTTGCCAGTCTTCAAATAAAATTGAATCCGAGAAGTCACATTTGTGCACCTACAACAGGTTACCAATCATAAAAAAATAGTTTGGTTGGGCAGTGGAGTTAAACAATGCTGGTTTGGGCCAAGAGGAAGTTCTCCCATTGCCTTACCTGTCTGTTGTGATAGTAACAGTATCTGTGTTTCCACAGTATCGCTCTCCAACAAGTTTGATGAACTTCTTCCTTGCATGGTCATCCAAGTTGAGACTTGACAGTTTAACCTGGGGGCAGTTGACAAGGGGAATCAAACTATTAGCAACTTTGATAGTAGAAGATCAAAAGAGTAACTGCATTAAAACACATAAAGTATCTATTTACAAATCAGAGGTAGATGCTGAATGGTCCCACAGAGACAAACGTATTTGCAACCTTCTGATGAATAGGGAAGCCAGAATCACTTAAGAATTGTGTTACTAACTTCACTGCAATGATTCACAGAACAACTGTGGCACAAAGAATATGTAAAATGTGGGGGCAAGGATTCACTTAACAACCATCTCACTTAGCAACAGAAACATTGGGCTCAACTGTGGTCATTAAGTCCAGGTCTCCCTGTAATGAAGGAAAGAACCAAGAGAAGGAGGCAACGAATAAAGGGAGGGGAGGAAGAGAACAGCTGGGCTCTGAAGGGCTAAAGAGGCCTCACCTGAATCAGCAAGAGCCTGTACAGAGGATTTATTTATCTGTGGCACTTATGTCTCCCGCCACTCTGTCCTAATTAAATATGTTGCCGTTTGTGCTTTATTTGCTTTGATGCATTTGTAACTTTCTTGGTAGAACAACAACAAAAAGGTACAAAGTTAAAATGCTGAAAACCAAATCAAGCAGAAATCACAACATTGCTGACACTGAAAAGATCCAGGAAAGGAAGAAAAAGGCTCTAGAAAGCACCCTAGGGAATAATAAATACTTTCCGGTAGCTTTGCAGTCTGCGGGCTTTTAAAATCATTTTTTTTAAAGTAAATTGTTTTATAAGCAACTTAGAAGGGGGGATGTAGGAAGAATGGCAGAGTAGCAGCAAGAGGTATGTCCTTTTTTTCAGCACACTTTCTGTCTTCCCAAAATATTTATTCTGTACCCCTCCCCCATACAGGATTAACAATATCACGTTTGTGCATCTTGCAGTCAAAGGAGCTGATTCCATTTTAGGAAGCCTAATTCTCCCCACCACCACCACCCTTCACTTACTTTCAGGGTCACCACTCTTGCTTTCGGATTACGAAGAGATGGCCCCGCTGAAACGTAGTCACTTGTGCCGATTTCAATGGGGAAGTGCTGCAAACATTTCTCGTCGCTATCCAAGGCAGAGGGCCACTCTGTGCAGAAGTCTGGAATGCCCGTGATGGAAGGAAAGCACAGGCATAATTTTAGCCGTGGTCATTATTACACAGAACCACAAACTACACTCAATGAGGGCTAATGTCATTCCCAATAAACCCTAATGCAGCATACAATTTGTTGGTGGGGTTATAAAAAAACTGAAAAGAAAATAAAGGTCCGAAGGACGTTCTCTATGTCCAATATAGAAACATATAGACACCCCCAAGGTGTCTTCTAAATCTTACTCTAATCCTTACTTTTATTCTGCTTATTCTCTTATATTAACAACGGGTTCACCTGAACTGGGGCGAACCCGTTAATATTATGGCCGGTTCGGCGAACCGCAAATCCCACCCCTGGCTGGCCCCACCCAGGAATCCCCATTTTGGATCCCAGGTAAGTGCAGGGCCCACGCAGAGGCTTGGGGAGGGTGAAAAACAGGCCTCCGTTTTCACCCTCCCAGAGGCTTGGGGAAGGCCTCCAGAGCCCGGGGAGGGTGAAAACGCTCCCCCCTCCGTGGTGCAAAAGGCCAACTAGACCACGCCCACCCAGCAACCAAGCAGAGAACCCATTGTTAAACTTTTTGAATCTATCTATCTATCTATCTATCTATCTATCTATCTATCTATCTATC